AGCTACTCAAGAATTCAAACGGCTGAACGGAATGCAAATGCTCAAAACGACTTGTCAGGTCCTTATAGTTTATCTCCCTCATGAACCGCATGACTTCGGTTTTAAAGGGATCATTCTCGTTGTTATTACCAGATCCGCCATTGTTCCCCTGGCCCCGTCGAAGCCGACTTCACCCCTTAGGGTGTTGTTATCAACCTTCTGCATTGTTCGATTCGCGAGAGCACTAGGAGGAACTGCACCTTGTCCGTTCGCGTTGTTGGAAGCACCCGACAGCGCCTGATTTAATTCCATCATGACCTGATCCTGCCATGAGAGGTGGCCTATAATGGTGGCCTCTTGTTGCTCCTTCAAGATCCTTACTGTTTCGACGCCATGCTCGTCTTCAACATCATCAGGAGTTGCCTCTCGAACATTTCGTAGATATTACCCGCCGTGAACTGGCGTGGCCTCGTCCCTCGTTGCAGGTATCACTGATGGAATCTTCATGCTAAGGCTGATTTCCTTAGGCCTCAACGTTGTGTGTGTTGTTGACACTATTATCTGCCATTTTTAATAATTTTTGCTAAGAACAAAGAATCAAACAAGTTAGTAATAGATGCCGGGATCAATTCAATTACACGACTGTCTATGCCCCACGGTGGACGCCAAACTGTTTACCCATAAAATGGTACAGTTGAATTTATACGTGGTTTATAGACAAGTGAATCGATTTGATCCAAAGTAATAGATGAATTACACAAAAATGTAAGACTTAGCCTTGAAATTGAAATAAACGACAGAGATCTTAGTCCCGGGCGCAGAGCTACCGGAGGCAGTAAGACAGTATAAATAAGCAAGAAAGTAAAATATTATTTGAGCTTTTGATAGAATATAGTGTATGCTTGTTAGAAAATTTGTCCCCTTATAATGATGATATAGTTCACTATTTATATTCGCACCTTGGAAACAAGATCCTAGGATCAAACCCTCTTTAATGACAATTATTAGGGCCATTGAAGAATGTGTAACAGTGGGCAGTGAATGCCATATTCTTTGTAACAGATCATGCACTTAATGCTATAGAATATTCTTCATTGAATGCTACCGGATGACATGCATTTATTTTGTCTTTATGAATATCACTCTCTCCGATGACAAGCGAGATCATTGCCTTCGGGTTCAACTGTCTTCTGTTTTCGGCTCCACGTGTCGCTTTCTCATGTGATCATTAAATATGAACATATTTTACCCCATACAATATACTTTTAAGACTTTATATAGAATTTTCTTTAAAAATTGTCTAGAAATATTTAGGATTCTCTTATGGGATGTAATATTTAATAGAATATGAAGTGCTCCTTTTTTTATTAAATTTAAATAATGTGTTGTATGATCACTTTCCTATCAATTGTTATTGAAATGCGACAATCTCTTTGTTCTTCCTTATTCATATGTCAAGATCTATTATATTTTTATATCTTTTTCGAATTTGAAGTGATATTTCGATAATTAAAAATTAAATAGAGCATATAATTATTTAGGTATCATATTGATTTTTGTATTTAATTATTAAATTCGGTTAACCTTGAAAGTGTACATCAACGAAAAATTATTGTTAGATAACTAAAAAAAATATCTATTATGTATTACTAAAACAAATTCTCCCATAAGAATATTTTAATAGATCATATGTTTGTGAATTTTTTAATTTTTATTAAACATATATTTACTTATAAAGAAATTAATAAAGTAAGATTGACATAGTATTTATGTAACAAAAAATCCGAAAAATCTGACAAAATCGAACCAATCCAAACTGATATAATTAATTTGATTTGGCTTTAATAAAAATCCAACACCCCACCATCGAATTATAGTGGTTGAATTTTTACCTTTTCGGTCAAAATCAACCGTTAGAAAATTTTGGCAACCCAACGTTCCGTAGGAATAGTTCTTTATATAATTACGAAATCTCTTGTCGTTAAATAGTCAAAAATCGAATATTCCAGTCAAAACAAAAGGATACTTGACAGTGGATCTCTATAAACTAATAAAAGCCGTCAAAACTATAGGTCATAAATAGAAAGTCCCTGACCAGTTGAGATTTAGCTTTTTCTACAATAAAAAATTGAGCTCTAAATTATCTTTTCAATACATAAGGGAAACCGTCAAAAAATTTATTGCAAGTTTTACTATAGGTCATACATAAAAAGCCTCTTGACCAGTTAAAGATTCAGCCATTTCTATAATAAAAAAATTGAACCCTCAATTATCTTTTGAAGACATAAGGGAAGCCGTCAAATTTTTTATTGCAACTTTTTCCTTTGAGTTGATTAGTCTCATATGCTAGAAAGCCTCCAAGAAAGGGCTGGTTCTAAGTGAATTTCTCTTTCTTCTTTTCACTCTGGTACTAGTTACTTGTATGCCATGTTTAACCGTGTGTGTATATATATATATATGACAATAAAAGCATGTCATTGAGATTATAATTAAAAGTTCACGTTAAATGATTTTTAAATTAAATTTAAATTTTTTTTAATGCACTAAAAAGCAAATAATACTTCTTTCTGGAACAAATGTAACATTAGACTAAAATTAAGTAACAATTCTTTTATAACAAATTAATTTCTTAAGTTGTGACTCACATTAAGTTAGGCGTAAGATGCTAATTAATATGTTTAACCAATTTCTTTCGTCTTGTTTAACACTTGATGCCCACCCTATTTACTTCATGTTGGCTAGGCAACGTAGATTCTTGATACCTTTTACTAATGCTCTTAAGCGTGCAAATTAAAGAGGGTTTTATTTCGAAACACATAGAGTGATCCAAATTTTGCGGCTATATACTTGTTCCTTAGATTGAAGTATTAATTAAGGTGGTCGGTCTCAACTCTCATGTAAATGGACTAAAACATATTATTCCAAACTTACATGTTAAATCATGACGTTTTAGCCAGTATAATATCTGTAATTCGTCATAAGAGGAACGGGAAACACGGTGGTTATCACTAAATTATTTAGGTCTATTAACCAAATAAATTTTTTAACCGTGTTAGGCTCATTCACTTTTAATTTCAATTACTCGGCAACGCCGACGACATACATCCAATGAGAGAGCTAGATGTTGGTCACGATTTTAAAATGACATATAACTTTCTGTTAAAAGTTAAATAAGCTTTAAGTAAAAAAAAGATACATTACGTGCATCCTTAATGTGTAGTGGGGAGGACCATTCTTAATATAAGTAGCGAAACTAGAATCTTCCACTCAATTTAGAAGAAATGAGAGCACCTATGGTTCACCATCTCTCAATTGTTTAATCTTACTTTATAAAACTAATGTCTTTTTCATTTTTATCATGAAACCAATATCAGGCAAGCGATGTATGCACATAATATTATTAAACGACTAAGATTAAAGCCAGAACGTTCAAAGTGGTACCAATGTCCTTAGTGGGAAGATCGTAAAAGAAGTGTTCTAATATTCCCCTGAGAGTGATTTTGCACGCATTCGACACAAGAAAAGTAGTAACTTTATATTATAAAGTAAGAGAAGTGGAATGGTATGAAACATCTGGCGTTCAATCATTGAAACAGTATCAATGAGCATAAGTTATACTCTATTATAATAACTTTTGTATAACAGCATAAAGTACCTACTAACAAAAGTTATCGAGCGTAACAAAATAAATAAACTCTATTTCTGTATTTCTGTCAATTTGAACCATTCCTTTTGCTTTTCTTTTTTGGTTCAACAATTTGACCCTTTCCATGCATAGAAAAACATAGTAATGTATATGTACCCGTGTCAAATATTGCTCGTGAAATTATAACCAGCCTAATAAGCGGCGAAGACAAGTTTTTTAACTTTATGAATTTTAAATTTTCGAACAATGATTCCAAGTGCTAAAGACTGAGTATTAAATTTGATATTTATACATATTTACAGTGGCGGAGCCATTTTATAGGAAGGGGTTCACGGAAAAAATACACTATGTAGCTAGGTAAAAAAATAAATTATATGTATATATATTATGTATTGACTTCCCTTAATTTTCTGATATATTTACTTTTATATATTTTGACACTCTTTAACGAAAATTCTAGCTCCGCCACTGTATATTTATTGAAAATCTTAAAATAAATATATTATTTGAACAAAACTATTGAATTCGACCGAACTCACTGTTCACCTTCTGACGCCGCCCCTGCCTAATCCGTCCGGACTTGGACAAGTTGGCTAAGCATATGATTGGCGAATCATTTTGGGCATAGTTCACTTCAGCTCATTTAAAGCTTGGGCCAATTCAGTTGCATATGTAGCCTAAATTGATCCATAAGAAAACTTATCAAAACATAGAAAATAATTGTGTTGGAGCTTGATTTGCTTGAAATAATCATAATAAATAAAGAAAAGATTATTACTCCATTATTTTATTTGATAATTAAACAAAGTTTAAAAGAACAAACAAATGAAAAAAGCTTTTGAATTGGACGGGTTAAATTTTGATGCATTGCTTAGTCCAAATTGACATGTCCAGACCATTGTGACCCAAGCAAAACATTCAAAAAATATAGCCCTATCTATTTATTGGCTCAACTTATTTTGGTTCGACCAAATATATAAGAAACAAAATAATTGAATGCATTTATTTCTTTGTAACTATAGAGATCGAGAAATAAATGACAACACACTAGGAAAAGATAAACCTACTAAAGCAAAGGGAAGCATAACCTGAATTTCTTCGGTCATTGTAGCAAATTGATCTCCTCTATAGACAATAGCAGTACCTTTTGCTATTGAGGCCAAATGGCAGGCAATAATTGGTCCTTCCATCATTTCTGAATTGTTTTTTAGCTGAATACGAGTTCATTTTGTATATAATTTCATTAAAATCAAACCCCTCCAAAAACAAAGCATGTGTTGTAAACCGTAGTGCCCCTAAGGATTGGTGGATGACATAATAAAAGAGCATCCTGGGATATTGCTATTGCACCTTCCTTCTTCAGAGTGCTCCTTTGCATTTTAGAATTGAATATTTGTCCAAATAAAATATACTTTATTGCAGTACAAAAGTTCTTCCTCTGTTGCACCAACTTTCCCACCCCCTGCCTATATAAATATGTCGACCAAGCTCTCCTTATTTCAGTGTCAAGTAATACTTGTGCAACTCTAGCATTGTGGGTGAGAGACGAGTGCTAGAGATTTGCAATTCTTTGGCTACAAACATACAAAAAAAGAGATGGCTGCTATTTCTGGTCACTGGGCTTTTGCTTTTGGTGTTCTTGGTAAATAAAGTCTATTTTTCCTCCATAATTAACATAACATTTATTAAATCATTTGCATGCACCACTCTTTGTTATTTACTTTCTAGCGTAAATAACTCTTCGTCTTTACTTTCTTTGTTTTCTTTTGGCAATTTGCAGGTAACATTGTCTCATTCATTGTGTTCCTTTCTCCACTGTGAGTCTCCATTTGCTTATACTTTTTAAGTATGTTATAATTTGTTTTCCTTATCGGCTTAATTATAATCTAACACTATATATAACTTCACACTTGCAGGCCTACGTTTTATAAAATTTACAAGAAGAAATCAACTGAAGGCTATCAATCAATTCCATATGTGGTTGCTCTCTTTAGTTCCATGGTTTGGATTTATTATGCATTTCTCAAGACAAACACGACCCTTATCATCACTATAAACTCCTTTGGTTGTTTCATTGAAACTATCTACGTCGGTTTCTATCTTTTCTACGCACCAAAGAAAGCCAGGGTACGCTTTCACAAGAAATCTTTTTTTTTTTTGGTACAAAAGATTTATATTTTATTCGTTTTTCTTTCCTAAAGGAAGTAAATTTACTTTGGTCTTCACAATTTAATTAATGCAGGTCCAAACTGTGAAGATGCTCTTATTATCAGTAGTGGGTGGCTTTGGCGTTATTGTCCTTGTTACCCAATTTCTATTCAAAGGTGCCGCTCGTGGTCAAGCGGTTGGATGGATTTGCCTTGTATTTTCCTTATGTGTATTTGTAGCTCCGTTGGGCATTGTGGTGAGTTTTTACGTACAAATATTTCACCTATTTCAAAACTTATATAGTCTTCTTAATTCATTTATTTCCCCTGTTTTTCCATGCATGAAAATAATGCTTATTTGTTTTCTAATTTTATGTAGAGACTAGTAATCAAAACAAAGAGTGTGGAATACATGCCACTCCTCCTATCCGTTTTCCTCACATTAAGTGCTGTCATGTGGTTCTTCTATGGTCTTCTCGTAAAGGACATTAACATAGCTGTAAGTTCTA